ATACTCTTAAGGCACTATACTAATGTTTTGGTACTTGGGAGGATTTCATATGCCTAGGCAGTGGGAGGTTACGGATACTTACAACCTTGGTATAACCAATGTATATATGCAAAATACATACATTTTCTAGATGAAGCAACACTTCGAAAATGCTTGCTAGTATCTCAGTATAGGATTCTTTTCAGACAATAATTTGGAAGTAAATTTATGGCATCAGCTTTTTTTTTATAAGGATGTCCCCTGCTGGTGTTACGACTTGGCATGCTGCTGAGCAGCCTCCTTGCTGAGCTACAAGGTGTGCGGGAGTGTTAATATTCTCCTTTAGCCACCTGGTACACGTGAAGACAAAATACGCAGTTGCCTTATTGCTTCAAGGCAGATTTTAAGCAGGTGCAACCAGTTTGGTGTTCTGGGAATTCTTGAACCCAGTAGCTGCTTTTAGAAGCCATGGGGGAGAACAGGCCAAGGAAGAGGCAGGATATTGTGCTTTATTTGTGTGGAAGTAAGGGGGTTCTCTGGCTTGATTTCTGCTACTGTCTAAGGAGATCGGTGAACTATGGAGCCCCAAAGGGTACGTACAGCTTTCTGAGGCTCTGCAGGTGGGTTCTGGGGTTGTGGGAAGAAAATCAGATTGGTTATGTGGGCAATGCAGGGAGGTATGAATATAACATTGGAAGAAACCAGGACAGATGAAGGCTAAAACCTTCTTCAGGTCAAATTTTATTCCTGTACCTTAGACATAAAGATGTCTTTATGTTTCAAGCTTCCTTATCAGTCAGTAAAAAATAACTATCAGTTTATCTAAACCGACAGGTGTCCAAGTGTGCTGGTTACATAAAGGTGGGAGCATAGAGGAGAATGCTTAGTGTGGGAACTAATCACAAAAATTGACTTAATGGTTGTATTGTGGAATATTATTCCAGAGGAAATCAGAATAATTGTTTCAGTCTTCTGCTTTTTTATAGTGGACTGGATACAGTATAGCTAGGTATGCTGTAGTGAATAAGCTCTGTTGGGTGGAAAGAAACTGGGTTTAAGGATTTGTGTGATTATTATTAATCATTGTTGGGTGGATGAGGAATCGGTTGTATGGTCGCATCCAGAGGGTAGTGGTCAGTGGCTCAATGTTCAGATGGAGATCGGTGACAAGCAGTACCCCTCAGGGGTCCATATTGGGATCAGTACTCTTTAATATCTTCATCAGTGACGTAAACAGTGGGATCAAGTGCACCCTCAGCAAGTTTGCAGGTGACACCAAGCTGAGTGGTGCGGTTGACATGCCTGAGGGACCTGGACAAGCTCAAGGAATGGGCCCATGTGAACCTCATGATGTTCAACAAGGTCAAGTGCAGGGTCCTGCACCTGAGTTGGGGCAACCCTCGGTATCCATACAGGCTGGGGGATGAAGGGATTGAGAGCAGAGAAGAACTTGGGGGTCCTGGTGGATGGAAATGAGCCGTCAATGTATGCTCGCAGCCCAGAAGGCCACCTGTATCCTGGGCTGCATCCAAAGCAGCATGGCCAGCAGGTCAAGGGAGGGGATTCTGCCCCTCTACTCTGCTCTGGGGAGACCCCACCTGGAGTCCTGCGCCCGGCTCTGGAGCCCTCAGCACAGGAAAGACATGGACCTGTTGGAGCAGGTCCAGAGGAGGCCACAGGAATGATCAGAGGGATGGAACACCTCTCTTCTGAGGACAGGCTGAGAGAGTTGGGGTTGTTCAGCCTGGAGAAGAGAAGGCTCCAGGGAGACCTTACTGCAAGCCTTTCAATACTTGAAGGGAGCTTATAAGAAAGATGGGGGCAGACTATTTAGCAGGTCCTGTTGCTGTAGGACAAGGGGTATGGTTTTAAACAAAAAGAGGGTAGATTTAGCCTAGGTGTAAGGAAGAAATTTTTCACAATGAGGGTGGAGAGACACTGGCCCAGGTTGCCCAGAGGGGTGGTAGATGCCCCATCCCTGGAAACATTCAAGGCCGGGTTGGATGAAGCTCTGAGCAACTTGATCTAGTTGAAGCTGTCCCTGCTTATGGCAGGGACTTGAACTAGATGAGCTTTAAGGGTCCCTTCCTATTCTGTGATTCTATTATCATGTGTTAAAAATACCATAAATCAGCATGTGCCTAATACTGAAGACACATTAGTGGACAGGTCATTTTAAAGCTATTTCAGTAAGAATAATTTGTCTGGAGTTAAAAATTCTTTGTTACTTAAGAATCATTATATGAATCATGGTTAAATGTATAATAGACTTTTTATTTGGGACACAATAGGGAAGTGTTTGAGCTCTTGGGTACAGATGCTTTGCTACAGAGCAACTAAGCTAGCCAGTGTTTTCAGATGTTTTAATGGGTATCTGTTCTCAATACGATAAAAACAGAATTAGATTGACATAATGACAGAGCCAAATAGTATTTCCAAAATCATCTTCAAAGCTGCAACTTGTGACACTTTCTTTCTTCCCCAAACATCTGTCCTTGAGAGTTCCTAACTAAGAGGAAGCATTTCTTTTCATTTCCAGAATTTATCCTACTCTCCCTGCTGTTTACAATGACCTGCACAGGACTTTTAAAGCAAGACTCCTCACATATACCTTTTCCTTCATACTCATCGTTCTTAAGGTCTTGCTGTTTAGCTGCTCTAACCTCTTTCTGCCACAAGCCCAACTTCTTACCCACAGTATCATTAGCTGCTGTAGCCTGCTGAGCCTGGCACTTCATTGGTCTTCCTGCTAAAGCTCCAGCTTCTGTTTCTGTCAGGTATTTCAGAAATGCTGGAGAAGTCTTTATTTACTAAAGAAAAGCCTTACCCCTGACTAGAGCCTGAAAGCACAAAAGATGTGTGCCAGGAAACAAGAATGGACATATGGTATCAAGTGATGGGCAAAACAGTTTGAAACTTTTGACACATGCGTGAACATATGTAAGCTCATTTTACCGCCAAGTATTGTCATGCTATTAAATTGTCTGGACAAGCAGTTTGCATTGCTTCTGGAGGTAGTAAGTCTTCTCTTGCTAGTCTCTGATGAACAAGAAGTCAGTCTTCCCAGGCTTTCATCTTGCAGAGTGTGTAAAGAGGTGCCAGAAGCTCCTCTTCAGAGGACATAGAGGATATCTATCCCGGTGTATACAGCATTTCTGCTTTGGTAGTGCTCGGGACTGGGGGGGGTGTGGGTGGAGCAGCACCGTGCAGGGAGGTTGTGTCAAGTGTCTTCCTAGTGCAGGCAGCATTAGTTCTACCTTGAGGTCAATGGAGATGATGGTAGAGGCATAATGGGGATGAGTGATGAGGCTACCCTTGTAGTGTATTCTGGTGGTGCAGCACAGGGTACATGGATTACTTTTGTGGCTGGCATAAAAATGGTAGCATCTGATAACTGCAGTCATGCCTTGAGTGCGTCCTTGTTACTGGTGTATTCCCCATTATTAGCGTAATTCTGAAAGGCAGGAAACTGAATTTGTTCCTTCATCATTTCAGTTAGAAATGAATCATTAAGTACATAATTTTGTTGAGGTACAATTTGTAGATGAATGCAGTAGAAACAGACAAATGTTGCTACAGAAATTAGAGTTTAAACTAGATATAACACAGCTGTGAGTTGAGCATTTAGAATTGATTTTAATATGAAATCTGTTTCTTATGTGAAACATAAGTTTCCTGATTTTTCTGTTAGTTTGAGAGAGTTTTTTTTAGGTTTGTCATGCTAACATGGTTGTGGAGCTGAGAATTCAAAGAATGTTGGAGTAATGCAGAAGACTGATAATCTTCTCTCAAACCTTTCATTTAAAGACTGGTTTAGAAGCTTGTCAATCGGTTAAGTGGCCTTCACAGAGGACATACAACTTTCTCCAATAAGATTAAAGATACTTTCTCTAATTTGTTGGATATTCTACCCTCAGATTATCTATAAAAGGAGCAAGGGAAAGGGCAAGAACACTGCAGGAATTTTTAGTTTTTATTCTGAGATTCAATTGCATCTAGACTACCTGTTTGTATTGAAAATGTTTATCATTGCTTTCATGTAGGAAGTGAAGCAATTTTGGAAACATCCCATTTTGTCTTGTGACTGCTTCTTTGATAGAACTGATAGTTATTTTTAATACTGAAAAAAAGAAGCTGTATCCTGTATTGTACAACATCTTGCAATATGGTATTGAGAAAGTATTTCTTACTGTGCTGTAAGATGTGAATTGGCATACTTTTATCCAAAACCTAAGACAGTTAAAATACTAAGTTTCTACACATGCTAATATGTGCTTATTAAAACAAAGTATTTTGTTTGTTCCTTTTATTAATAAAAAATCTCCTACCAGAAGCTGGACATAACTGGAGATAATTATTTGATGGTTTTGTTTAATAAATGTGGATTGGAAGAGGAAATTTATATGGGTTTGTAGAGAACAAAAAAGATTACTATTCTAGGAGTTGCATACTGATGCTCGGAGTTTAAGTCAAGGATTGCAGAAACTCTAAAACGGTGTGTAAGGAGTTGAATTTATTCGTAAATTATTATGAGTTCTTCCCTTTTCAGTAGAAGGGTGAAGCTACTAGATTTTGCCTGGATAATTGTTAACCATACTAGTATATTATGTAGCTGCTTCACCCAGTGTAAAACTACTCCACAGTTTTTAACACGAGGTTTGTCTCTGCCCATAGTGGATATCGTAACATGACAAGACTAACTGCTACAAAGATCTATTGACTTCTTACTGCTCTGTCTGAAAAGATATGACCAGTGCCCTGAAATTCAAATATCCTGAATGCAAAGAAAGAGGACAAGGAAAAAGCTGAAGAAGTTTGACTTAATAATGTTTTGACTTTATCAAAAGTGAACTTACTTGAGGTCATCTAATAGGCTTGAGAAGGCTAGGGCAAGGAAAATGGTAAGCATAAGTTTCATAATTTGGAATTAATTATAAAATTCTTACAGAGTGATTTTTTTTTTTTTAGGGTTGTTTTTTTTTCCAAATTCTAATATAATATCTCCTTTTTTTCCCTACCAGTATCCCCTTATGTTTGGACTGATCCTTGCATTCTGCTGGTGTTCTTTGGTTTGCTGTAGTCGAATTTATATGGGAATGCATTCAATTTTGGTAAGAAAATAATCCTACGAAACTTTTGTTTTAATGTTGTTCTGATTTCATAAACTTCCATCACACTTAAGTTTTTATACACCAGTAATTGTATATAGATTTTTTTTTAGAATGTCCTACCATATAAGAACAGAATACTTCTTCAGCAGAGAAATTGATATGATAGCTAAAAGTAAATGTCAAATTTCTGTTAACTTATACTTTTCTTTCATAAACTCAATCCACAGTTGAAACTTAGCCGATGTTTAATAGCAGTTTTAGTGCAGAAATTGATGACCACTGTAAAGCACAGACTAAGTTTTCCTCTACAGAGTAAAAATAATTTAGCAGGATGAGAGAATGGCTGTTAATGTCCCCTCGGGTTCCGCATCAGCTACTCAAAGCATGTGCATCTCAGAATGCCATACTAAATGCTAGGGTTTCACTTACCAGAGTTTCTAAAGAACCAAGTAACAAAATAGTCATCTTTGAAAAACAGACTTATTTATTAAAAATTATTTTAAAAAAATCAAACTGAAACACAAATGCATGTGTTGTGAAAATGGGAAGACAAGAACACTACAAAATGTTAATCATAATGTAAGACCACTAATAAGGATGGCTGAACAGGTCTTCGTGCATCACTTGCTAGAAGGAGAAAATCTAACAGGTAGAAAACAGTAAGCCTGGTAGTGAGTAGTAAAGCTGGTAGATGAACACAGTATAAAGGGAGCATGTAAAAATAAGGCAGCTCAGAAAAACAGAATGATGTATTACATTAGTGACTAGGAGGCTTCCCAAGTCAGGACCACTTGTGTAGAGGATGATGGGATGAACTGATATTTCAGCCAAAAATGTCAGCTGACAGGAAATGTCATGGAACAAGATCATGCAACAAATAGCAATGCATCATGTAGACCAGGTTTCCTATCTGAATCCTCTATAGTGTTTAAGTGAATAGAATTAACCATATGTTAATTGTTATATAAATCAACCGTGGTGCCTAAGATGGCGGCAGGTAGGGTGGCAAACATGGCAGAAGGTTATTGGGGCTGCTTCTGAAATCAGTCAATTGTGTTAGAGTTTTTATCAAGCGGTCAATTAGTGGAAGTGAATAAAAATGATTCATTGAAGACAGAGCAATAGAAATACTGCTGCTGAAAGTCCTGCTTCCTGGCTTGTATGGGAAAGTTGATAGGCATGCGAATGAAGGTGATCCAGTTTCTAGTGCTAAAAGCTTTTTAAAACTTTTCTAAAAACTTTAGAAACTTTAGAAACTAAAACTTTCTAAAAAACTTTCAGCAAATTCCTTATGAACAACTGAAGGTGACTAAAGTTGCACATAATGCTGTGCAACTGAGTGAAGGATCAGCACTGAATGATAACTATAAAAATAAAGTAACCTTTTAATTAAGAGAAGACACTTTTAAAACAACAATAAAACTGAAAATCAAGTAGGAAGCCACAGAAATTAGTCTTCCTCTGCTTTGGTAGTTAGAAACAGTTCTCCATTCTTGCAGTATTGTTAATTCTGAAGCTGGAGTGGAAAGTCAAAGCTGCCCTAATGCCTAGCTGCAGTGGTCCTTGACTGCCTTACCAGCTGTTGCTGCCAGTGTGCCTGTGTGGTGGCACCCAGGCACCTAGATCCAGTGTTGAGCTGTTCCAGCAAACTAAGATGGCAGGATTTCTTTTGCTGGGCTAGCTTTGTGCTGACTGTAGGCTGGAATGCCCCAGTCCTGGGCAAGGACCATTGTAGCCAGCAGATATGTAGATCTACAACTTCATTTGATCATGGGTTATTTGATCATAGCTTCATTCATGATCATTCATCATCTGATCATAATGCAGATGTCCTATTAATAGGTGATCAAATGCAATTCCTTACCTTTTCTTCAACATAAAAAACTTTTAATGTTGTACGGTAAATGAGAGAAGATGGGAATCCACAAGTCGCTTTTTTAGCAACAAAGCAACTAGGCTTGTACTCTTGCTGATGTAACTTAAATTCTTTTTTTTAAATAGTTATTGCATTGAAACCATATCTTTCTCTCTCTTCAACAGGATGTTATTGCTGGATTTCTGTATGCTATTCTTATCTTGGTTGCCATCCATCCACTTGTGGACCTGATCGATAACTTCAACTTAACTTACAAATATGCACCCTTAATTATCATCAGTCTCCATTTAGCCCTGGGCATCTTCTCTTTTACTTTAGACACCTGGAGTACATCACGGGGAGACACAGCTCAGATACTGGGCTGTGGTGCTGGAGTAGCCTGTGGCTCTCATGTTAACTACGTAATGGGTCTAGAGCTAGATCCTCCTCCCGATACGTTACCTTTATCTCTTTCCTCTCTCACTGTGACTGTGTTTGGAAAAGCCATACTGCGGTTGTTGATTGGAGTAATAGTTCTGTTGTTAACAAAAGTAGCAATGAAAAAAGCCACTATTCCACTGGCGTGTAAAATATTCCGCATACCACATGATGATATACGGAAAGCAAGACAACGCATGGAAGTTGAGCTTCCCTACCGCTATATTACATATGGAATGGTTGGGTTCTCCCTTATGTTTATTGTTCCTTGCCTCTTCCATTTTATTGGTCTTTCTTGATGCAGTTTTATCACTTTAAATAGGGAGAACAGAGCTAGTTGCTTTTTGAAGAGGTGCACTAGTTTGCTAAGGGAAGGCCAGTGAGCTTGGCTTTAGCAGGGTCTTCACTTTAACAACAATATATGGCAGGCAAAGCATTTAAAGAACTTTGCACATCTTTAGGTATGGTATGGGGCCAGAAGTCAAATACCAGCCCATGAGAAGTGCTGAACTCTATAAATGCTATGTCTAGACCTATTGCTGTAACAAAGTCTGTGCATGTGTGAGATGCCATGAATGTATCTGGAATGTCTGTCATACTGTACCTGTATACATTGACATTTTAACAGGTATGTCTGACAGCTAATCAGAAAGCTCCATTCATGATCTGTCTGCCATTTCATAATAATTTATTCCAGTTGATGGACCATAGACTGCTAAATTTGCTTTCCTCTATTCTTTCCTGAAGTTCTGCTTCAAGATGTTTCAGCTAATAGGCATTTCTAATGGACCAAACTTGTAATGAGGTTGAATTTTTCTAAAAAAAACCAAACAGAAGCCTTTTTCTTTAGCCCCTTCTACAGTGTAAAATGTCTGGATTGGCACTGGTAGATATCACTACAGTATGTATGATTCAGGTACTGTATTTTATGGTTTAATAACTGTGCCTTTCTGTTGCTAAAGTAAGAAATGCCATATATACTGTGATGTAAAAATGCCTAATTTGATTTAAAAACCTACAAGATTAGGCAGGTATTTTTAAATATTAGATTGTCTACATTGCTGGCATGGTTCAAGTTAACCGGAATATTCACAGTTTAGCCTGATCAAAATTGCATAAATGAAATGACCCATCATGTCCTTAAGCTCAAGATGTTGTAAATGGACAATAATCCCTTTTGTAAGTATTTTTAATGTGTATTGTAAGTTCCTGGAAGAGGATATATTTTTCTGGAGATCGTTTATACAGTGGACAGATATTAAAAATTAATTATCTAAACACAGAAACAATAAAACCACCCCATTCTGCAAAGAAATGGGCCTCACTTATTATTGCAACCTAATTTAGAAGGACCATTGTTTTTAGATATTTGCTTAGAGAATATAATCCTTATTCTCGGGGGGGTGAAAGGTATTTTTATTCATTAACATACTATATTCAAAGTTGATAAATCACTTTTACCCAATTTAACTGTAAGACAATACAATGATCAAATGCATAAACGGTTTGTGCACATCTAAATTCTACTGAATTATTATGTACTTTTCAGCTTTTCATGGCCCTTTTTTCCAGTGATGAGTACAATATGACCCTTCAACTATAATCTCATGTGCCTCTCTTGTGTTTCATTTTGTCTTATTTTAATGTGTTGCCTAATCTGTTCTTTCCATGTCAGGAACTGTCACATTGCAGCAAGAGCTATCTTACTGTCTGGCCAGACATTAATTCTGTAGTTTTGTATTGTACAGTTTTTTCAGGAAAAACATAATTTGGTTGGCAAGTATAGTGATTAGACAGACCACAAAGCTTACATTTTTGTAAACAATATTTGGAATTGGAAGGATTTTTGTATTGGAGCTCATATCTCCAAACTGTTAATATGTAAATTAACAAAATTAACTTCGTATCACTTTCCTCAAAGCAGTCAAAGTTATGGTATGCTGGCATTAGATGATGTGAAGAGCTGACTTTTCTGATGCACTTCTTCAGTGCATTCAAAATGCACCACTATGAATGTTCAGAAGAACTGATAGTGTGTTAAAAAAACTTCTGTAGTTGAAAAGAAGAAAATGGTTAGCTTGTAGAAAATGGTTAGCTTGTTTCAGTGCATCTTTCCGGATTTGGTTTTTCTATCTGTTCCTCTTTTGCAGTTTAATGCTGAACGTGCAGTAAAAGGTAAATTGGTTTCCAGGGTGTTGAGGGATGGATTTCCACTGTTTTAGCTTTGCGCACTAAAATAGTCATCGAATAAATAGCTGGGGGGAATGTACACAAAATGCCTTACGCTTAAAGCCCTGAGCAAGTGGTGTAGTTCTGATAATATTAAATTAGTCTGAGGACTGGTGAAAGTAACAGGATAACTTTCTCTAAAATTTAGGGCATAGTCTCCTTAAGTATCCTAGCTTTACAGCTTACAGTGAAAAATGTTTAAATTCTAGCACAGAAGGGACAGATGAGTAAAACTAATTTTTTAAGGTACGTACTTGACTTATAGGAACTTTGTTTACAGTGCAAGAATGTTCTTAAAGCTGTCTTTTCTAGCTGTGCTTGCTCTGCTATACTATTAATGGAAAATAAAATCTACTGTGGAAGATGCAGAATGGGTGAAAAAATTATATGCAGGTAGGGCTTTCAACAGGTTGAGAAAAATTGCACTGTAGGTTATTCTACCGTTACTCATGAATATATATATTTTCTATTTTTATACATTACGTAGGGTAACTTCAGAATGCCATATTCCATGTATCACATAGTCTAGTACACAGGAAATATATATCAGAATGTTTATGCAGCACCTTTACAACCCTATCTTTAAGACTGCAACTACTTTACTGAAGTTTACATGAAAAAAGTTTTACTATTCTATTTTTGTGTTTTATAAGGGGCTAGGCTCAAGAGGGCAGTTTAGCACAAAATCTGATGCAATATGAATACTGTTATAGAATAAAGAATTGCAGAAATACAAAAATTTAAAAATACAACTTAAATATTTGTATTTTAGTATATTTTTGTTTAACAAGCAGCTAAGATTCCTTCAAATCGGGCATAACAAAACAGTAGGTAAAACTGGAGCACTTTCTTTGACCTAAACTATTCCCAGAGTTGAACATAAAAAATGTTTCTAGTATGAGCATCAGCTGGTACCAAATTATCTACAAATAAATTTAACATAGCTTTAAAAGGTAGTTAAATGACTTTTCAG